CGAGCATGTGTGCAAACGCATTGGCTTCAACAAACTCACAAATCTTCTTTTTGACACATTGTCACCCCTCTGTACACTTGCTTAGTGTCGAGCACTGCAAAATTTGTCACAGGCCCCAAGAGTGAGGGTTAATTGTACCATCTTCACATGTGCAAGCACCCTCTCTTCATGGCCTGATCAACTTGCCCCCATAAACGTAAGATGTTACAAGGACCAGCCGTTGGCCCTTGAAAGCAACTATTCTTGCATGCGTGCAATGAGGTCAATATTGTGAATCTAGCATGTGCATAAACTACTGCCTGGGCTGGTACTTGCAATTCCCCTATGCCATCATGGCAAAGAAAAGCTCAGTCAGAGTCATCGTCCCTGGCCCTTTTTTGGGAACCCCTGGACTTAGCCTTGGCCTTGGCCTTGGCTTTTGCTTTCGCCTTGGCGTTGGCACGAGGTGGACGAGGTGGGCATTCGCCCCGGAACCCGCCCTCAACAGCCTTCTTGAAAGAGTAGTGTTGCTGGCCCCGAGGGTTGATCCAAACTCTGTACACATTACCTTTGGCCTTGCCACTCAGCCTCTTCCGTGTTTCGATGACCCAGTCCTGCAAAACGTCGGGCACGGTGGATGCAATTAACACAAAATATATTTTAGTCCTGGGAATGTGACCTCGTCAGAGTTTCATGCTTCCTGAGCTACAGCTTGCGCCATACCCAATGATCGAAGGGGTTCATGTATAGATTGCAATCTAGATTCGCACGTTCTGGTTTTCCCTGCTTTGTTTGAAGTAGTGCAAGTTGCGCTTGAGGTGTGGGCACTGGTCCTAGGGCCCTCGACAAAGCCTCTTGCTGCACACGACCGATCACCACTTGCAATGCGCTGTTCGTGTAGTCCTCGGCAGGCACTGTTTCCACAAGGGATGCCAGCTGCTTCTTGGCTGGATCCTGGCTGCGTGTCTCAAATGTGTTTGGCTCGAAGGCATGAAAACATAATCGAGAAAAACAGCTCCTTGCGGCTGCTAGCAGTGGTGCTAGACTGATTGGAGGATGAAGACAGGCTAGTGACAGTGCTGGGGGAAGAAGCCGAGCTGCTGGCGCTGGCAGAATCGCTTGAGCCGGAAGATGCACCACCCTGGGGCTGAAGCTCACCTGAGATGTGATGTGCGATGTCCCAGACCATGGACCATTGCACATGTATGCGTGTGCATGCAAGGAATTTAGTGTCCAAGTTACCCTCTTTGCTGGTAGCTGTTGACTGGCCCTCCTTGCTGACAAGGTAGCGTGTCAGTGGGACTTGCGCAGTCTCCCTTGGAGGTGGCTGTCTCAAATTTAAAGTCACCGGGAATCGGGGCCCTTTTGTGCACCATCGAAGCAATGTCCCGTCCTTTGGCTTGGCTTCCTCCTTGCAGCTATCTGGCCCGTCCTCCCCAAGTGCCTCCGCCGGCTCCGACTCACCCTCGGAGACCACCGGCTGCTGCGCTTCATCCTCTGAGACCTCTGGCTCATCATTCTGCGAAGCCTTTGCCTCTGGCTGCGCTTCCTTGGTGTGGATGGTGGAGATGTCGGCCCCGTCATCCTGAGATTGCTCCCAGCTGCGACTCATCCTCCGAGATGTCTGGCTCGCCAGTCTTGACCTTCGGCCAATCCTCCTCCGACTCACCCTCAGAGACATCCATCTCATCATCCGAATTCGAAGCCATCAGCTTTGGCTGTGCTTCCTCCAACTCACCCTCAGAGACGTCCGACCCCCACTGTCCCAGAAGCAAAGTGGGCTGTGTGCCCAACAAGCTCTCCATTTCCCGGGAGTCAGGCTGCCGGTCACACTCCATTAAAGCTGCCCGTCGGCGCTTAGCACTGTCGAACACAGCACTTTCAGGCTCATCAGCCTCTGAAGCCTTCACCTCAAGATCCGACTCGCCCTCGGAGACGTCCGGCTGGTCAGCGTCCAACGCCTTCTCCTCAGCGATGTCCGGCTCATCAGCTTCTTCTACCTCTGGCTGCGCTTGCTCTGACTCATCCTCAGAGACTTCCGGCTCATCAGCTTCTTCTGAAGCCTTTGGCTGCGCCTCTGACTCATCCTCGTCCTCAGAGTCATCAGCTTCTGAAGCCTTATCCTCGTCCGGCTCACCGGCTTCTTCTGAAGCCTTCACATCTGGCTGCGCTTCCTCTGACTCATCCTCATCCTCAGAGACGTCCGGCTCATCAGCTTCTGAATGCTTCACCTTTGGCTGCTCTTCCTCTGACTCATCCTCAGAGACATCCGACTCATCAGCTTCTGAAGCCTTCACCTCTGTCTGCGCTTTATCAGAGAGGTCCGGCTCATCAGCCTTCGCCTCTGGCTGCGCTTCCTCTGACTGCACCTCCTCCGACTCATCCTCAGAGACATCCGGCTCATCAGCTTCTTCTGAAGCCTCTGGCTGCGCTTCCTCTGACTGCACCTCCTCCGACTCATCCTCAGAGACATCCGGCTCATCAGCTTCTTCTGAAGCCTTCACCTCTGGCTGCGCTTCCTCTAACTGCACCTCCTCCGACTCATCCTCAGAGACATCCAGCTCATCAGCTTCTTCTGGCTGGGCTTCCTCTGACTCATCCTCAGGGACGTCCGGCTGGTCAGCGTCCGACGCCTTCTCCTTTGGCTGCTCATCCTCAGCAACTTCCGGCTCATCAGCTTTTTCTGAAGCCTTCCCCTCTAACTGCACCTCCTCCGGCTCATCCTCAGAGACATCCGTCTCATCAGCCTGTGAATCTGGCTGCGCCTCCTCCGACTCACTTTTAGAGACTTCCGGCTCATCAGCTTCTGAAGCCTTCACCTCGAGATCTGGTTGCGCTTCCTCTGGCTCATCCTCCGAGGCATCCAGCTGGTCAGCCTCCAAAGCCTTCACCTCCTCATCGGTCTCCGACATCTCATCCACCTGCGTGTCCTGCATCATCCTCTCACCATGATGGCTCAAGTCGGCCAAAGGAACCTTCGGATGAGGCAGCCGCGCATCCACCTCTTCCTGCGCAGAGGCAGTGGACCCATCCTCGTCACTTGTGGAGCCAGCGTCTGATCCAGACTCCTGCGTGGGATGGATCCGCAGGATCCAGTGTGCAGGTGCCGAGCAGACTGTTGTGATAGAGGAAAAACCACACACGCGAAGACAGACAGACAGACAGACAGACAGACAGACAGACAGACCGACGGACGGACGGACGGACGGACGGACAGACAGACAGACAGACAGACAGACAGAGAGACAGAGACACAGAGACACACACACACACGCCCCCAATTCGTGATCTAATTTCAAGCATATTATATATATATATATATATATATATTAATTGGATGCCATGCGTTGCATACATTCGTGCATGATCGATACACGTGTGCAAAGCGTGACAGGCCTGCATCTTGCCCTTGCTGTGTCCGGCCCCTGGCACCAACCCGCAGGCAGTCCTAGGTTTGGCTACAATGATGGATCGGATCCTACAAAATGGTTAGTACCCCCCCCCCTTCAAGGTCAACAAGGTTTGGGAGGGGCAAAATTTTGAGGCTCTCTGGTAGGACCCCCCAATAACTTGAGAGGAACTTGAGGGACTTGAGGGGCTTGGTGGCCTTTTGCTTGCTTTTTAAGCTTAAACCTTTTTGTTTGAAACATGTAAAGAAATCTGAGGTTTCCTGACAGGTTTGGGGTCGGTGCATATTTAATTAGGAAAGCAATCAGCCTGGTGTTTTAGGGTGGGGGGTGGCAAGGGAGTACCTTTAATCAGCGGGGTGTTTTGGGGAGGCCCCAAAAATAATGGGTAGGGTTGCGTGGCCCTTTACGTGGGAATCTGGTGTACGTGGATCGAAGGTTTTTTTTTGGGGGGGGTACTGATTGTTCCCTGACATTATGTGTGACTTGCTAGCAAACAAATGTGCTGGCGCCAAGGGGCATATCAACATCGCCCATACCAAGGTCCAAAGGCAGCGTTTCCAGCATCGATGGGTCCCTGAGCAGGTGTCAAACCCATGGCCAAAGTACTGAATATTCCGAACCCAATCATGAAGGGCCGTTTAAATTGATATGGAAATTGCCATATGCAATCAATGAGTCGGAGTCTGATCGACGGAGCTTTGTCTTGAAATAGCACTTCCACTAGATGAACGGCTTCTCCTCGCACCAGCCCTGGATTGTCTGATGAACACGCCATGCATCCTGTTCGCCTGGGGATCAGCATTTGTCCCTCACTCAAAGAAATGCCTATTTGCATCATGAAGACAACATGCATGGCAAGCCTGCACTGTGATCCATTCATCTTGTTCACCGGCCTCCATAGTTTGGCCTCAGAGTTTGGTTAGTGCATGCTCGCCTATGCATGTCCCTGGCACACAACGGTGCACCATAAATTGACAGCAAAGAGGCACAGCTTTGCCTCCACAACCAACTTTGTGACGACTTTGCGGCATTCATTTTCTCGGGGAACCCTTGGAAGATTTGCTTCCTGGAGGGCCAAGATCGCCCACTTGTTTTCTTTTCTTCTGATATCACCGCCACATACGAGTTGGTTGGAGTCCATGATCTCTTTCCGGGAAGGCATATGTTTGCGGCACTTCCGCAATAGCTTCCTCAGCATGAATTGTCATGTTTTTGCAACCATTGAATTTGCAGTCTGGACACACGCCGTTATCCGTCAGCTTGCCAATGCGTGGGCGCGGCATTGCCCGGTGGGGGTGGTCAAATCAGAAAGTAAGTGTTGATTTTGAAGGGGGCTACCCCGTTGCAGTGCATGATTGACTCATGCCTGTGACATGCAACCCCGCCATACCACCGAGCCCAGGTGGTGTCTGCGCTGGCCGGGCGGCTGCTGTGCTGCCTCCCCCCCCCTCATCTGCACCCACCCCTGGAGGTACCAATTGAGGGCACTTTTTGAGTTAGGGTCAAACGAGGGCACTTAGCATAAAAGTGTCGTCCATTCGTACCAACACCTAAGTGCCTTCAAATAGAAGGCACTTGGAGGGTGCTGGTAGAAACGCTGCGCAATGGCAGGAGCTGCTGTCAAAGCACGGCGGGCCCTTCTTTCACGGCGAGCAGGCGGGGCGAAACAGACCTCCAGCAAAGAAGAAGCCCATGGAGGGTCAAAAGGCTGTTAATGTGTTTTTGTTGTGTGTGTGTGTTTTTTTAAGCACATAAATCAGAGGTCAAAAGGTCGTCTTCAAATTTGTGTTTTCCGATCACGGAAATCGAGTGGAGGTCTGCGACCATTTGTATCATTTGATCAGAGAACATTTTCTTCCGCCTTGTGGGACCCTCAGTGTGGTTGGTTTTGTCTGGGATTCCCTTTGAGTCAGCTCCGACACAGGTACTCTAAACAAGGCTCCCTCATCTACCCATTCTGACACGCCAAATGAGTGCGTGACGTCGTGTGAGGGTACCCTTTTTTGTTTACAGGGCAACCAAAAAGAAATTTGCATTTTTTGGGGATCCAACCTGAAGCAAAGACGAGCCACCATTATGGGCATGTCGAACTAGGGAAAACAAGGCCCTGGGGTTCAGGCCAAAAGAATGGGGGTTCAGATGTAACCCACCATGTTTTACCTAAGGATTGTCATCCAAACAATCCCCTAGGGAAGCCTAACACCTGCGGTCTGCCCCTGTTTACCTAAGGATTGTTATCATCCTGTTTTTGGTCCTTGCCATTCTTTCAATGGGGGTTGCACCCAATCTGGATTTCTTGAAGGTTCCAAGGTGAACCTGCCAAGAAGAACCCGCCCGCATATCACATGAGAACTCCATCGGACCAAAGTAGAATCGTCGTTGCAATTTTGGACAGAAGTTGTTCTTGCTGCGAAATCGGCAGGGAATGAGACATGGAATGACCCCGAGAGAAACCATCCAAGCGGTGGTTTCCTTTCAGGGGACCCCTGAGTTCATTCCCTCACTCCGCTTTGCCTTGATCCCAAACATGGTACCCCTAAAAAGAAGCCGCATGTGGCATGGCTGGTCTTTGGCCAATTTGTTTCCCGGGGAATCAAATGGCTGTGGGTCCAAAGCCCGTACCGCCAGTGAACATCCCAATCCCCACTAAAATAGACCAAAATGGGTGGTGCACCTACCCCACAATGGTACCATTGGTTTTGACCCACAGCCAAATGGGTTTTCTCATTCTACCGATTTCGCACCGATCCCAGGGTTTTTCGCCCTGAACAAGCGCCGAACAAAAAGAACGAAGGTCTCGGCGGCGGACTGCGCCTGGGCGCCGTTTCTGGAGCGCTACTGCGCTCAGCTGCCGTGCCTCCACAAGGGCCTGCGGCCCTACGACGCCCGGCGAAAGAAACAGACGGTGACGCCGATTTGGCAGTGGGTCAAAACGAGTGATTCGGAGCATGTTCAAATGGCAGTGGGTCAAAAATAGTTGGAAACCCCATAATGGGTTGGAAAGTCAAAAGTAGTTGCAAACCCCCAAAATGGGTTGGTAAATGGAACCAAGGAGGACTCAAACCTGCGGCCCCTTGGTGGTTTAATTTTGATCTATACCCATTTGAGAAGGTTGGTTATGAAGGGGGGTCATAAACCTGCCTTATGACCATGTACCGGGAAAGAAAAAACAACACACCATGTTGGTTTGCCTTGAGGTTCCTCTCAAACCAAGCCCAAAAAGAGTACCCTAAAGAAAGCAATATATATATATATACGTATACAAATTAAATGTGTATAGAAATATATATGTATATATATATATAGTCAATTGGAGGCGGCTTTTCGCGGGTTTTCTCTTCGGGTGCCCCTTTCAGACCCACTTAAGAGGGGGCAAACGGGTTCAATGGAAGGTTTGCTCGGAGAGATCATGTCTCTGTTCGCACACGCAATTGACCCCAGGGAGAGAGTTTCTGGGATCTGACATTTGCTGCACCCGTTCTGGCACGAGCCCCATTGCCCCGTTGGTCACCCAATAACCTGTAATGTTGACCCCGGATTAAGAAACCCCTGTTTAATATGGGGGTGCTTCTTTTTGGTTTTAGTGGGGATTCAGACCACTTTTGGAGGGGAACACCCCCATATTAATAAACAGGTTTAAAAAAAAAAACCAAAAAAAAAAACGGGGTCAACATGAAAGGGCCTACGATTCCTGGTGAGCCTTCCACAGGTCCCTCTTTCCTGAGTTAGACGATGCCTGGCGGACTTCGAGCGTCACTGGGGGCAACCATTCGAGCCCTTCCAAACCCGTCTGCACATGCGAGCTGGTCCGGCCGACGCTCCAATCACAAGAACATAGAGCACTCATCAGGCCACAAGCCTTCAGTCTTTCAAAGCAGTTGATAAGAATCCTTGAGTCCTTGTTCAATTCGCACGGTTGTTTTTGTAGTTTCGGGCGGATCTGCATCACTTTTTGGAAGCACCCCCCCTCCAGAACAAACTTCATGCGCTAGGTCCATGAACATCCGGTGATGGACTTTGTTTGAAGCATTGCACGCCCCGCTGCAAATTTGTATACTCCAGGTATGCCAAACTGATCCCTAGGTTGCCTTCAAGGTCAACCAGTGTTCCCATGAGCGCACCCTTCCAATGGAGTGGACAGAAACCCCCAGACCCAGTAGTCGAGACTTTGAGAAAGCGACTTGCTCACAACAAACAGCTTCCCCACGTTGCATGGGCTGAGAGGTTTTCGGTTCTGACCATTTTCCGGCAAACACCTGCTAGATATGTGGACATTTCAGGACCATCTCGCGGAACCGTCACAATGGACCATGGGGTTCACCTTCCATCTTTCGGCTTTTCTCGCAGCCTGAGGATTGGCAACGGCCAGCTCGGAGAACTGGTTGCCTTTTCAACTGGGGTTGTTTCAGCCAGAGCATTCCAGGCCAACTAGAACTGCCGGCCAGCCAACCTTTCAGCCACAATGGATCACAGGAAATTCCTAGCATTCTGACTGTGAGGCCTGTGCTTTTGTATCAGTGGCTTTGCGCCCAAAATACGGGCGTTCCAACAATAAACGGAAACGACACAATATGGATGCGTAAACCTAAGCCGCTTCCCTTACAAATATGTCATGTTGACGCCCCGTATGGCCCCCCACTGTCTTTCTTTCTTTCTTTCTTTCTTTCTTTCTTTCTTTCTTTCTTTCTTTCTTTGGAAGGGGTTCCCCTTAAAAACCGACTTACCCTCAGAACCCGTCCAATGCAGTAAAAGTACTGTAACCCAAGGAACATCACAACTTGCAGCCTATTTTTGACACACACACACACACATCTACTGTGGATGGACAATATCCTTCCATGTGCTGCTCCAGACTAGTTTTTTCCTCTTTTTTTGCATTAAAGGGAATCTATCACTACAGGACATATTGTTATTTTTCTCAGAGGACGTATTCGCAAATGGACTGCACCGGGCGAGCGCTCGCGAGCGCTAGGACCCCAGTCGCTGGCCTGCGTTGGCCGCGTGGTATGAAGCCATGGACGCGCGATTCCCCGCCTATAGCGGGGGGCCCGGCCGAACCGAATGATTTGTCAAATACTGGGGGCACCGACAGGGAAAACCATGTGAACCAGAACAAAATGACGAACTGACTAACTAACGGAGCTACAGCCATGCTTCTGTGAGAGAAAAACAAGTGGTAACCAAACAGAATCTCTCAAGTTCCTGTTGGCCTAGTAAACAAGTTCAGACTGGACGGAGATGATCGCCTGAAGAGGCTGTCCAACGGGGTCAGAATAAAGAGCGCCATTGCTAGCCTTTCATTTGCCGAAGAATATGATTGATTTTCCCTGGTTTCAAAGGGAATCTATCACCATTGGATACGGTTTTCTTTCAACAGCTGAAAGCTACGAGGGGTTTCCGGGGTGTTGGGGATACGACCTGGGCATATTTTCTCTAAAGGACGACCAATTTATCAGGGCTCCTTAAAAGATACACAACACGGCTTTTCCACCAAAATAAGGGGAAGCCACCATTTACAAGTTGCAATGTTCAGGTGTTTTTCATGTAAGGATCCCTGTTTATTTCAAAACACAAGGCCAAGCGGTCAGCGCGTTGGCCTTGAGGCGCTGGCTGGGCCACTCAGTGGCCTATGTGTGAACCGCTACCCTCCCTCCTAAGCTCGCAAGAGGGTGCCAGACGACTTTTCGTTTGGGGTACCTTTTCCCCCTCCCCCGATCCAGCTCCCTGATTGTTGGCAAGAAAATGCTGCCCACTGTGGTTGAAATGCGCGCCGTGAAGTTTTCGTGGAGGGCAAACCCCGCTGAAGGCTCATAGAACTGGGTATCTACACTGGCTGTTTGGCTGGATCTTTGGACACTAACGTTTTGAGAAACCGTGGAACTTCCCTTCCCACAACAAGTCAACAGAGGGGAAAGCAGCAACCAAGTATAATTCGCATAATCCTTCTACAAGAAGAGGAAACAATCAGCACGAGTACGATGCAATGTTTTTCTCAGCATCAATGGACAATGCGAGTAACACCTGGGAACCCGACAAATCACACTCCTTCAGCCACAGCTAAAGCTTTGGGAGCAAGGAAGCCCTTGCCGCAAACGCCAGCAAAGCTATGTTTCTTTCCCTTCAAACGCCACCAAAATGCTGTTCCTTCCAATTTGGGCACACTCCATAAACGAAGAAACCACGACTTGAGTGTATTATTTATCATGTTTCCATCAGGCTTTCTGAAACGCAAGAAAGCACCGATAGCAAGTCAGAAGCAACTTGAAAATGCGCAACGAAAACAAGAAGGGCAGACAATTGAGGATTCCTGCATTTCCTGCCTGAACACATCACCCCACCAAAAAACATCCCCTTCTTGCAGTTCCTCTTATTTCCCATTGGAGGTGTTCTTTATGCCCTGCATCAACTAGCAGTGGAGCTGTTCGGATGATTTTCCAAACTCACACCAGGAGTGGTTGGCTTTGTTTTCCTACCGTTTGCTACTAGATGACCTTCCCTTTTACCCAAAATCAACCATCCAAAAGTGTTGTCTTTGTGGTTTGCGTTTCTTTTACTTAGCGGTTTGTGGTCTTTTTTCTAGACTGTCATCGGATTGGTGAACAAGTAAGAGC